GATGACTCTGCAACTCAAAATAAGAGACATTTCAGGTAAAGATTAGTCCTAAAAAAGTTGCCAGACTCTGAGACCACACCTTGGCGCCTCTACCAGTGTTGCGCCGCGTTGCAGGGAGGCATGAGGTGGTAAAGAGGGACTTGGCTGTGGCCTAAAGATGATGCCTCACCCTATTTGCCACAGTTCTGTGCTTGATTCTTATTTACACTCTTGGCTTCCATGAATCGGGTAGAGCCGGACAGGCTAGAGCAGAGCAGCCCAGAGCTCCTTCTGCTGTGCTGGGGCGACTCCTGAAGAGCATCCCGGGAGAGGCAGCCCCTAACTGAGGCCAGCGCCGGGCCACAGCTTCTCAAGGTAAATCACCTTCCACGCAGTACCAAGAGATACAGAAGGCAGACAAACTATACGGCTGGTGAGAAGTTGGCGTCAGAGGCAGATGATGCATTTGAACCATGCTGTGCTATATTTTTGTGCTTTGAGTGCCAGCATTAGTGTCCTCCTGTTATTCTTGGCAAGGCCGGAATCTCAAATTTTGCCTTTGATGGTTTTTTCCTTTATTATTTTTAAACTGTGGTAATGCAGTATTTCCCAAAACTGAGAAAAAGCATTAAGTCATTTTCTCTATTGCTCTGGCCAAAGAATTATTCCCCATGATGTGTATTCCAGGACTTCCATGAACTAAATTAACCATAAGTTATGGTAATGCTATCAGGACCCCCTCTGGGACATGCTTCCCAAATCTAGTGATTCTTATTACTGATATTTTTTCTGATTCTGTTTTTCTCTTCTTAAATCCCAAAACTTCTACTCATACTTCCCTGAATTACATCTTTCCATACTATGCTATAGTCCTAACATGGGGTCATGACCTTCATGTTAAGAAAGGCATATAAGCATTTCCATGAGTTGATATACTGAGAGTGGGGAGAAGCATGTGTAAGGGGGGAGGATGCTATAGAGTCGGAGTGAGGACTTCCCAACCCCAGCACGTGACTTCTGTACCTGTAGAAGGTGCCTTGAAAGGAAAACAAGACATCAGAAGAGAGCTTGGTGGGTGAGTGAATCAGGACAGGTTCCGACTCTTCATCAGAGTGGGGAGAGCAAGTCACCAGCCAATTAGGCTCGGCATATTTTGGATCTTTTTTGAATTCTTGGGCTATTGTATAAGGTCTTTCTACTCTTTCCATCTTGGATGTCTTCCAGCCCAACATGAGCTCTGGGCATCATTTAGCTTACAGCTTCTCAGGAGTTGTTCTTCCCCGAGTAGTTGTCCTCTGCTCAGATTTGGAGAATCTTGCCCTGAGCACATGCAGCTTAGGATTCGGCCAAAGTTTCAATGTAGATTTCTGGAGCTGACAAAAAAGAATTTCTGCTTTACCACTTTTATTCCTCATTTTACTGGAGATGCCAGCCAGTTGAATAGGGCAAGAAAAATAAATAAAAGACATACATACTGGAAAGGAGGATATAAAAGCCTTTATTCACAGGTGACATAATCAGGTGCATAACAAAATATAATAATAATGAAAAAGTTTAAAATAGTGCAAGAGTTACTGAAATGTGACACAGACACAAAGTGAGCAAATGCTGTTGGGAAAATGGTGTCAATAGACATGCTCAACACAGAGTTGCCACAAACTTCAACTTATAAAAAATGCAGTATCTGTGAAGCCCAATAAAGCAGAGTCTAATAAAATGAGATAGGCTTATACACTTTTTCAACCTCTGGACCTCAGTCTTTACAGGATTGTTCCTGAATTTTCTTTCCTCAGTTCCCATAAAGCCACTTGGCCTTACTGCTAAGAGAAACATTCTTATTGCACTCATTTGTTCTTTCAACCATTTTTATTTGTTCCTAAAGCCCTGGGAAAACCACTGGCGATCAAAATGGGTATAATCCTTACCCTCAAGAAATTTGCTTCCTGCTTCAGATGCCTTTTACCCTGGGAGCCCTCAGAGAAAGCGAATCAGGCAGTCCTACCCGAGACCTCAAGGAGAAACCATCTCCCCTTGTGCTTCTTTCTTTCTTTCTTTCTCTCTCTTTCTTTTCCTTGGCATCCTAATCCTTAGACCGGTCTTCATGAATTTTATTTTTCATCACAGAGGTGTAACTGAAAGCAAAATTTCTGTAGTTTTTTATTAAGCATCCAATTTATAGGACCATTAATTTTGTTTCAGTTCAAAATTCACTCATCAAATTTTTAAGTTATCAGAGCTCCTAGTATTAAAAATTGTTTGTTATAATTACTGCTTTATTCCAGTGATATTATTTACAAATTTTGTCAGCTATATGTTTACCTCTTGGCCAGCAGAGGTAGCCTGACTCACAGGTCTGTTGATTCCATCTTGAGTGCTGTGTAATGTAGCCATTTAAAAGTGGGCACTCAGAGGTGGAATGTTTGATTTTGAAACCTACTTCTTACTGACTGTGTGACCTTGTGTAAGTTAATTCGAATGTGCTTCCATTTTTTTACCTATAAAACATAGAAACAATTCATGAAGTTATTGTGAAGATTAAGTGAGATCATGAATAAGGTGCCAAGGAGAGCACATGGCCCACTGCATGCACTCCGCCAGCATGAAATGTTATTTTCCTTCCTTTTTCAATCTGCTAAAATAGAAAAAAATCAACCCATAATTATAGATGAGTAGGTAGTACGGAAGCATGTGCTAGCTTGCTCAGGCAGGCCTTGATGTCCACCCTCAGCCCTGGGCCCAGGGACACTGAAGTTCTCTCACAGAAGAGGTCAGAGCTGCGGGCTGCCACATCGGCAGGCTCCACGCACTCATGGCGAGGCGGGAGACGATGCTCAAGCCCAGTGTGGTCTGTCCTGACCTGGCCGAGGAAAGCACTCCTTGGTGCCCGCCGCTCTGTTGCTTTTCTGCCCTCAGTCCTTAACACAGCATCCATCTCTCTCTCAAATGAGAGAAGGAAGCCCCCCCCGCCCCCAGACGTGGGAGATTCAAGATCTCTGTGCCTGGCTCCAGTGCCAGCTCAGTCTTCTTTTAAAAGTCTAATGTCTCATCCTCCGTATTAAAAATAGAGATGACCTTGGCCCAAGCTAATCGCTTCCAGCTACATCAGTGCTGACTGTGCTGCTGGAACGCATCTCCTGAGCAAGTACTTGGCCTTTATAAAACCGGCCACATGGAATAGTTTCCAGTGTCAGTAAGAAAGTTTTAATATCATTCCTCCTTTCAGAACCTCAGACTGGCATCTCTCCCTTGGAGAGCCGGTGAACTGCTGGGACCAGCGCCGGGTAGGATGGGCTTCTCCTCTCCCCGGGCAGAATGCTACGACAACACACATCTGTCGTGGTGATTCAGCTGCATTTCCTTAATTCTTCTATCAGGGTCATGGGACACTTTGCTTAGCCATTGACTCTGCCGGGAAAACAAAATAATCACAAGGCTGAGTGGAAACAGCATTCCCTAGCAGGTCTCGATGAGGTTCTGTGGCTTGGCTGATTGGCCATTTTGTGACTTCCATGAACAACTGTGATTTTAGCTTTGCCTGCCTAAGTGGCCGGGGATTTAGATGCGGAGATTCTAAAGAAACAAAGACTTAACACAGGTTCCTTGATCAGCCTGATGCTGCCTCTCAGTCATGAGCTGTCACAGCACCATATGTCACTCATGCCTCGTGCCACATTTGTGTGATTGTTTGATTTTTCTCTTTGCCCCAAACTGAGAGCCCAGAAAGGGCAAAGACCGTTTTGCTGTGTAGCCAGGGACTAGCAGAGTGCCCTGCCCATATGGGGGTCTCAATACACATTTCCTCAACACATGTGAATAAATTAGTAAATGAATGAGCCCAAATTGGAATAAAAACATAAAACAAAATTTTAATATGAAAAGTAAGCTAACCATCATTCATGTATTATAATAGCTAATGAATTATCAAAAGACTGGCATGCATATTATAGTATTTCAAACTTCTCTCTATTTTTTGTTTGCCATTTCCAAAATTAAACAAATGTATCTTACTCTAACTGATTTAAGTTGAACGTTGCTTCATAAACCAAACATGAGACACGTGTCAACCACAGGTAAAGACAGCCAGAAAGATACATGAACTCTACCTTGAGCTGAATAGTTCATAAAGGAGATTCTTTCTTGTATCAGAATTCCAGCTAACAAATGCAGAAGGGATGAGAATTAGAAATCATTGTTTTTCAAACTCTGATGAAATAATGGATGTAATCAATGATCAGCGGATACTAAAACCACTGGAGGATGAACTGAAGGGGGGTGTTAAAACGTCTGGCTCTGGCTGACAGTGCTTGAAACCCAATGCCATCTGTGACGTATGCCAGCCAAAAATCGAATCTGCGTCTGATCAAGCCTCTAGATCGAACCCCCAGCTTATAAGAACAAGGGGGAAAACCAGGGGAGGAGAAACCTATGGTTTGAACGAGATTTAAAAGGCCTATCAACCAAGTGCAATGTATAAACCCAAATAAATGTTTGGGTTCTGATTTGAACAAACCATAAAACAGCAAACGTTAAAAATCATAAGACGATCAGGAAAGTTGGAACGATGACTAAGTATTCGACCATGCTCAGGAAGTATGTATTGGTTATTGTGAGTATGAAAATGGTGTTGGTGGGGATCTTTTAGAGACACTTCCCAAAGTATTTGTGAATAAAGGATATAATGCATGGGGTGTGTTTAAAAATAATCCAGTTGGAGAAGGTAAAGGATGTATAGGAAAATGTGCTTGGTCATGTTTGATAATCATCGAGGCTGGGTGGGAGGTATTTACAGATGCATTATGATATTCTCGCTATTTTCATATGTGTTTTAATATCTCTGTAATAAAGAGTGTGAAAGAGGGAAAACAGGCAGAAATGAATGTTGGAAACAGTCCAAGGTGGGGTTGAGAATGCAGCTCTCTAATCGGCTGCCTGAGATTAAATTCCAGCCCTACAGCCTGCCTGCTGGCTGAGGGACCAGAGTGAGTCCTAAACCTCGTGCCTGTTTCTCCCTCTGTGCCAAGGGGATAATCACAACGCCTGACGGAGTTGCCAGGACTCACTGAATTAATCCGAGCAGGGCACTTAGAACGGCATGGATGTGCAGCACGTGCTCGGACACATCGGCTGTGAAGAGAAGGCATCCTAACCAGGAGCTCATCTTGAAAACAGCTGGAAAACTCTCCATCTCTGATCATTCGGTAGTAGCTTCCTGAACACTTGAAATGAGTATGATTTTGAGACCAAATGTGGTAATACGGCCTTGGCTCTGCAAGCGTGGTATAGGTGGGCCTTGTGGGGACCCAAGCTCTCTCCTGGGGGACCCAAGAACCAACGGGAGGATAGCTTTCATAAAATGACAGAATTTTGTGACTGGAATCTACTTTATCCCTTTCTTTTACTGAGGAGAAAACTAGGGCCTTGGGAGGTGAAGTAATTTGCTAATAATCACATACTTGGCGATTGAGCAGTCCCTGGAGTCCAGATCTCAAGATTCCAGGGAGACGAGTTACGTGATTCTTATCTCATCGCTGCATCTATGGGAAAAGTCCACCCTCCCACGAGCCCAGTTATGACTAGCCCTGAGGTGTCTTATTTGGGGATTTCCCTAAATATTGGGAAACAGAGAAAGGAATCCATGTGGAGGGGCAGAGAAAAGCTGGAGCTCACAGTCACTAGCTCTTTGCTTTACTGGGTCACGTTTCCAAAGGATCTTGTCAGTCAATCCCGAAGCAGCAGTGCCGTGATCAGTCAGATCTGGTTCCCTTCGTGACCGATGGGACCCCTCTGGGTGCTCCACACACTCCATCATGAGTGCCTGGGATCATCTCAAGGTCTGCTTGGAGGCATCTGAAAAATACCACTTATTTGCCTTGAAATAAAGGAAACATTATTTTGAGAGTGTTCTAACTGTTCAGAGGGAATGTCCAAAGTAAGCATATTCTTTCCCAAAAACAGTTTTTGAGAAGGGTGTATTATTTCTTGCATTGCCAAGAACAAAGCTTTAATCCAGGAGGCGTCGAGAGCCAACGTGTACTTCAAAGATGTATTAAACTTATCCATTAATAGTCAGTTATCCTTGGGAAACTTCAGGGGCTGAAATGAGGAACGTTCACAAGGAAATTAAACACTGAAGTCACTATTCAAAATGTGGTCTTTAAGATGTACTGTTAACAAAATGGGCCTTGACAAAGGTCAACTGACCCTTTTACGTCTCCTTGCCATGTAGATTTTTGATGGGAAAGGAAACTATGAAGCCGTCAGGGCGCTTACAGGCCATTCGCACAGGGAGGCACTCTGTCAGCTGTGCAGTAAACGCAACAAAGTACATAGCGTCTTAGAGACATTTCTCAAGAACAAATATGCTTGCAAAAGAGTCACTGTTCTAGAAACTATTTAACTACCTTTAGTCCCTGGGTACCATGCTTTTCCACACGGCTTTTCACAGATGTGTAGCTATTTTTGCTACTATATTAAAATTGGATAAGCAATAATTTGTTTAAGGTTGGTTACAATGTGAACTCTGAGGCCATGTCAACAAACGTTTCATACTCAATTACATTAAAACATTGTCCGCCTCGCACTTCGAGATCCTCCCCTTGTGCCTGACTTTGCGACATTATATGGAGCTCGCACCCCGAGCCTTGTCTGGGTTGCTCAGTCTGGAATTCCCTGGCCAGCACCAGTGAGGCACCCCAGCTAATCCTTTTGTCCCCCAAGGAGGTGGCCTCGCCTGAAATAATCCTCCTGTTCACGGACAGCCCCCTTGCCCCGCCCTGCTTCTGACCGAGCGCCTCTCCTCTCCGCAGCGCCCGCAGCGCCCTTCCTTCTGCGGATGACATGTTGCCCGAGTCGTGAATGGTTGAATGAGGCCAAGTTGCTCTTTCAGTTTACTCGGCTGCATGTTTGTTATTTACCAGGAATGATTCCTTATTTCAAATGAAAGAGTATGTATCTCATGAATAAAGTGGCGAGTTCATCCCACGACTCAAATAATCCCACAACTGCTCTTCCTCAAAAGTAAGAAGCCATCAATGTCATTATGTGGCAGGCAAGCTCCACGTGTGCTTCCCATTCCCACACACAGAATATTAAAAAGACGTGTACGACCGTTGCTGTCGGTTCTGCAGCAAGAGTGCGGTAGTGAAGAATCCGGTGGCTCCCGGAGGGTCTGCTTGGTACACGCTTATTGAGAAAGCACTTCTGGCTTCATCGAGGCCCTGATGGGGCCTCAGGGCCCCCAGGGGTCTGCTGCTCACACTTCGAAAGTTGCTGCCCTATAGTTATTAATTCTGACTGTATAATTTGAAATAAAAATCATGGCAAGAGACTACAGGAGAGGCAGGGAGGAAAACGCTAAGCTTTGCAAAGGGGAGCTTAATTCCCAGAGGTGGCGCTGGGCAATGGCGCTCCTGGGGGCTTCCTGCCTCTAGGGGAGAAAGAATTCATGAGCAGGTGGAGCCGGTCCAAAAAATAGTAGTTTAATGAAGCAAAGGACACGTCCAGGGAGCGGGGGTGGAGGGGGGTGGGGACGCTGTGGAGGCGAGGGGCACGGCGGGGTTTGGGTTAGGCGGTCTCAGAGCTGGAATTTAAGAAGAGGGTGGAATATTCATTGGGTAGGTGGGGCTTTCTTGGAATAGGGGTGGGATTGGGGGGAAATGGTCCTTACTATGCCTCAGAACTGTCACGGAGCCAAGGGGGTGATTTTTAGTTTGCTGATGAGCGTAAGAGCTTTGGGGTACCCTGAGAGTCAAACTGGCCTGTTTAGACCGTGTTGGTGGCCTCATCCTGTTGATGGTGTTCCTATTTAGCCGTCTGTTCAGCCAGCATCTGGTGAAGCCACTGAAAGAATATCTGGGGCTGCCACACTCATTGCTGCTGGGTGAAGCGATAACAGGGTGACACAAATTAATAAATGTAATAAAAGCATTTGGCCTTAGGAATGTGCAAAAACTCTTAGGGCCTCCCTGTCATTATTTCTGGATAATCCTGGGGTATTCTTGATTCGACAATAGTTCACTGGACAGTTTTGGAAAGGACTCTCAGTTCTTATACACTGTACAAGAATGATAATTCCTTGTTTTAAAAGTGTATTTTAGCCTTTCAGTGTTAAATCTGTGGCTTCCTTTTATCAGCACTGGATAGCAACTCTACCATGAACCTCAGAACTGGGGAAAGACTTAGCCCCACGGCAGCGTTACGGATAAAGCCAGTTTAAGAACAAATACACCTAGTTTGACCCAATAGGTGTGGATCGACTGGAAAGTACACTTTTGCACAATGATGCATGAAATATTCATCAAGGAAATTTGGTTTTGAAAAGAAATCTCAGCTGAACCTTTATCAGGCAGGTAATAACTTCCTATTTTTTTTAAGCATTTTAGTGGTTGTCTTTTCTAAGCACAAAAGTAAAGCCTTTTCCTTCTAGAAAATATAGAAAGTGTTTTGCATTTTTTTCTAGGAGAACAACAGAAAGAAAAAGCAGGGGAGAAGACAATAGAAAGCCATCCTTAATGTCATGTTGCCATGTTGTACTTTATGGGTTCATTTTAGAGAAAAATATACATTCACTGTAAAAAAAATTTGAGTAAATATATAAATAAGAGCTGGCACAATAAATAAGAATCATAAAAGAATGGTTGGTAACCTCTGTTAAAATTCCCTCTTCCTCTCTCTATCTCATTAAACCAGTTAATTAGCCCGAACTCAGTAGAAATGAAAGTATGAAACAGTTTCATATTTTTTTCCTCATCACTATCCTCAACTAGGCTAGGCTGCAGCCTTGGGCAGGAAAAATTTTCCCCCAGCCTTCAAGGTTCTTCCACCTGCTTTAAGAAGTAAATTGACATTAGACAGATTAACAGCAGAAAAAAACAAACTTAATTATGTATGTATGGGGAATCCATGGACACAGATTCCAAAGACGGTCAGGGACAGTGAGGCGTGTATGTCATCCTGAACTGAGGGGAGGGGCTGGGAAGGAAGCATTACAGGACTATGGGAAGACCACACGGCTGGTAACAAATGCCTGCCGGCCCAAAGGGTCACAGAGGAGCCTGACTGACCGCCACAGGCATCCCCTTGTTCATAAAATGTAGTCGTCCGTGGTGGTATTTCTCTCTTCCACCCAAGTTCCTTCTTGCAGTTGGGGGAAGGTCAATGTTTCTGAGTCTTTGGGTCTTTGCTTGTTTTCATCTCCGACAGAATCTACATCCCAGAGTAGAACATCTGGAGGCAGCCAGCCCTTGGCCCCTACAGTGTCTTCGTTCCATACAGATGCGCAGCCTTATATAATTTAAAGCTTTACCACTTTAATCTCAGAGCCGGAGTGGGCTGCAGAAGCTCCTGCCCTCAGGTCCAGCCCCCGGGCCTGGAGGCGTCTCAAAAGGGTATTTCCTACAGCCTCACTGCCGTTTCCACTCCTTCCCAGCTATAGTCGTGATGCACCTGCCTTCACCAGGTTTTGTCCTTTCCTGCTCTTTCTCCATATGGAAAAAGTTAGTATTATCTAAGCATTTTTCTTATGTCTTAAAAAATTCTTTCAGCATGATTTTAATGCCTACACATTATACCATCTGGCATATGATTATTCTGTAAGTCTCCATTGTTGATGTATTCCATTTGTTTTTATAAACCTGACCAGATGTTTCAGGTGGGCACACTCAGTGTGCGTCGAAGCCCTGCCGCACCCGTCTGTGACTCACGACTGCCTTACAGACTGTCACTGTGGCCACAACGGTTTTTGCTGAGTGTTGCATTAAGAATTTGGCTGGTCTTTGCTCCTGGTTCCTGGGGAGGAGCCTGTGAACCCCGAGAATATCCTCGGTGACAGGAGTGTCTCTATTATTCACGGTGACCCCTGGGGATGGCATTGAGTTTATGCTGCTGAGGTGACCCGTGATAGGCCCTCCATAGCTTCTGGCCCTGCCCAAAAGAGCAGCTTTGTTATTCCTCAGCTGCAGAAGGGAAGAAGGGCTACAGATCTACTTCAGTCACATGGCCAGTGACTCAATCAATCATGCCTGTGTAATGACACCCCAGGAAAACTCTGGACTTTGAGCTCAGGAAGCCGAGCATCCTTGTTCGTGGTGCACATGGAAGCAGGAGCTGCTCCTGCGATGCTCAGGGCAACAGAGAGTCGGTGATATGCGCTGTCGGTCAGAGCTGAGGAGGCGACTTTGCTAAAGTGACATTAGGAGAGGGTACAGACAGTGGAATCTGCTTAAGGGAGGACATAGGACACCTCTCTGAGATAGCTGAGTGTCTTGTCCAGAAGTGTTCATCAGATTGAGTTTATTCACCGTCATTAAGTAGATGACCTAACCCTGTCCAGGACAGCATACTTCAGGGGCTCCCCCTGAGCTATGGTACTGTGACAGCCCACTCCATCAGGTGGGGTGACCTGTGCAGGCCCCGAGGCCTGGAGTCCGCCATCATTTCCCGGATAGTTCTGGTCATCCCTCCCCACCAAACTAATTCCTCCTTGCTTAGGGCCACCAGGACGTCCTGGCATCCTTTATTTAGTTCTTCTGACCATAGGGACCATTACAGCAGGTCTCCCAGCTGAGTCCTGGGCCCCTGTGAGGCCACACTCCGATACCTTCCTGGGGTGCCTCCCCCTCTTTGCATATGTGCTGTCTGGGATAGTCAGGATCAGGGACTCTGTCCCCTGGCAAATGGAATCATGTTTTTACAGACCTCTGGAAAAACATTGTGATGAGTTAAGTATAAATAAATAAAAAATATAATGATTGAATTTCCCTGAAAATACACATGGGCTAAAAAGGGAAGGGAGGGAAAAATGTCCACCCAAGATCCTTAAGAAAGATTTGGAATGTGTTGCCAAGAAATGACAATCTCTTTTTCCAACATTCAAATGTCATTCAAATTCTCTGCTGTTGGGGAGGAAAAATTTTGCTCCACCCTTCAAGGCTCTTCTAGCTGGTCTAAGAATCGAATCGGCATGAGAAAGACGAACAGGAGAAGAGCAAAGGTTGAGTGCCCAGCGATGGAGACCCACAGGCACGAGGTCCAGAGACAGTCAGGGACAACCAGGTACGTATGTCGCCCTAACCCAAGGACAAGGCGTCAGGGCCTGAGGCCTCAGAGGAAATGGGAGGCAGCTCAGGGGAATATATTTGGTAAACAGGCATTTGCTGGGCCCCACAGAATCAGGGGGACGCAAGGGGAACTTGAACAGACCGCACATCTCCATCTCCCTGCCCGCCACCCGCGGCTCCTGCCGTGCAGTGGCCCCTGTGCTCAGGGCTCTCCTGCCCAGCAGGTGCCCCACCTAGTCTCTCTCTATGCAGTTAGGGGGCAGGTCGAGGTTCCCTCCTGAGCCTTTTGGGCTTTGATCATTTTCAAAGAAAAATAATGTGCAGGACAAAGGGCACGTCTTGGGGCAGCTGCCCTTGGCCCCCACACTGCTTCTCCATTTCAGGCACTTGCCGAAAAACGTCTGATACTCAGTTGCTCTTCTCCACCCAAAAGTGCAACTTTATCAATTCCGTTAACTAAGATCCAGTCTTTCCTGCCACTCCGTGAACTAAAGGGGCGCCTGGGGTCTCACAGCAGCAGCCAGAGAGCAACGGGAGGCAGCAGTCGCAGGGCCCAGGAGGAGGCTCCCCCGTGGGACGAGGCGCTCTTCCTGGAGTGAAGGTGTGCGTGGTGAGTAAGGGGCGCTCTTCGCTGCTGGCTCACGGCACCACTTTCTTATCGGAAGGGGGACCCCTCCCGTCCCAGATACTATGACACGGAGGGAAGGACAGTCGCTCCCTGGACTCAGACTTGAGTGAGTGAGTATCGGTTAGCATTTGTGCTGTAACAGATCACACAGAACAGCAGCTTCAAAGAGCCGAGCTGTGCCCGTTCTCACGTCCTGTGGTCTGCCTTCCCGGCCTCCAGGTCTGGACTGGCTCGGCCGGGCCTCAGGGTCTTGGAGGGCCTGACATGTCTGGGTTATGGGTGATTTCTGTCACCTTTGTCTTCCATTCCTTTTTGTTCCAAATTATGTATACCAAGCATCACTGATTTTTTTGTATCTGGGGACCTATTTTTGTCTCGTATTTTTCCCTTAATGCTCATGTAGTGATGTGTTCACAATGTACATAATGTTGCTTCTGATTTTATTTAGTGTTACATTGTTACAGTTTCCCATCTTTAAAAATTCTCCAAAGCCTAGTTTCCATAGCTGCATAATATTTTGTACTTTCAGGTGTGCCTCGTAAAGAGGTAATTGTTTTTCTTTAATTGGCATTTGCATTATTCCTGTGTTCCACTGTGTAAATAACACTGCCCTGAGTGTCTTTGAAAACAGAACCATTCTCTTTTAGGTCTCCTGAACTGTGATTACTGCATCACATGGTGCATTATGAATTCTTCCAAGGCTCTTGATTTATGTTTTTGGGTCACGTGGCGGAACGTCCTGATGTGTGTCCCCAGCAGTGGGACCGAGGACTCTGAGTCCGGCCTGCAGCCGTGCTCTGCCCCGGCGCTGCTGGGGGCTCACACTTGGATCAGCAAAAAAGAGGGAGATGGGGAGAGGGCGGCCTTCTACTTTTCATCATTCTGCCTATTGGCTGGTTTGAACACTGAAAATGCATTCACTGGCCTTTTCTTTTTCCATAAATTGTATCTTCCTGACCTTTGACTCTTTTATATTGAATTTAAATCTTTTTTATCACCGATTTGTAAAGCCTCTTTATATAAGACTGTTGACCCACGTTTGCCACACTTACGGTACATTTCCCCCTGGTTTACTATTTGCATTTTACGTTTTTAATAGTATTTCATATTTACAGGGGCATAAATCTACCAATGTTCTCCCTTTCGCTTTCCTTCCATTATTTTTATATTCAGAAAGATCTTTGTCCATTCAAAAATCAGAAATTTGCCCATATTTTCTACTGTTAACATCTGCCTCTGTCCTGCTTCTCCTCAGTAACCGAATAACCAGTGCTGCCTGTTCTCTGCTGCTTAGCCACCTGCCCTTTGGGGTCTATAGGTGCCCTCCAGGGTCTATAGGTTCATCCTGTATTGCTCACAAATTCCTCGTTTTCAGTTGTCTACTCAGCAGCTCATTAGGACATCTGCATAATTAATGTGCACAAACTAAATTCCTTACCTTCTTCCTACCCCCCCACCCCTGCTTCCAGTCTACAGAATGGGATTTCTGTCCTTCCATCTGCTCATGGGACCTCCATCCTTCCGTCTGCCCCTGACTTGTCTTTCTCTCACACTTCCACACCCAGTCCATCACCTCATGCAGGAGCTCTGCTATGGAAAGACTGTGAAAATCTGACCACTGAGTAACTATAACAAATTATGATGACCACCTCTTACCTAGTTCACATTTTTCTACATTAGGCCAACTTAAGACATGCTCAGAACAGCATCAGAATGATGTCAGGTCACGTGCTTTTCTGCCAAAGTCCCAGACCTTCCCTTCTCATGCAGTGCTGGTCAGGGGTCTGCACAAGTCTGTGAGGGACCCTCACCTCCTCTCCTAACGCTTGGCGCCTCTCCCACTTGTCTCCAGCCCTGGCCATCTCCTTGACCCTCTCAAGGAGTCCAGCCTTCTCTGGCCTCAGAACCTCCCCACCTGCTCTTCCACTGGGTGCCTGGCTCACCATGCACATTAACAAAGTTGCAAATTACACTCATTGTTCTGATGCCCCCAAATCTCTGCCGTCTTCTCTACCTTGTTCTCCCCCAGAGCGCTGACAGCCACATGCTATCCTGTACTTTGTATGAATTTATTGTCCGCCTCCCCACACTGAAAGGTGAGCACGAGGCCAGTGATGCTGTTTCTTCTTCACAGATAAATCTTCAATCTCTAAGTTTTTGTATTTCATAATCCCATCAAAATATTTTTTGCCCTTTTAACTCTGTTAATGTTTTGGAAAGAAAAACTCTAGGTGTTTGGCTAGATCATAGTTTTTGTGTGTCATTTTGCTTGTTTACTCTTATTGAATGTAGTTGATCTTCTGGGTTTTCTATCCACTTTTGAAATGTGGTGGTGTGAAAGGCCAGAAAAATTATTGTATAATGTTCTATGCCCTATGTTTTATGTAAGAGTCTTTTAAAAATAAAAGCTTGCCACCAAATGATTTCACTCATCTGTGGAGTATAAGAACAAAGAAAAAAACTGAAGGAACAAAACAGCAGCAGAATCACAGAACCCAAGAATGGATTAATAGTTACCAAAGGGAAAGGGACTGGGAAGGTTGGGTGGGAAGGGAGGGAGAAGGGGGAAAAATGAGCCTTACAATTAGCAGACGTATAGTGGGGGGGGCACGGGGAGGGCTGTACAACACAGAGAAGACAAGTAGTGATTCTACAGCATCTTACTACACAGATGGACAGTGACTGTAATGGGGTATGTGGGGGGGACTTGGTGATGCGGGGAGTCTAGTAAACATAATGTTCCTCATGTAATTATAGAATAATGATACCAAAATAAAAATAATAAAAAATAAAAAATAAAAGCTTGCTTGTAAAGCCAAGAGCATTACAAATTTTTCATATTTAAAGACTTTCACAGGGGCATCTTCAATGTCTTTGCGATATTTCTCAAATTCTACTATCATTACAGGTTTGTGATATAACTGTTTATATATTTTCTCCTTTTTTCCCCATTTCCCATTATGGGAATTTCTTTCTAAAATGTGATAAATATTTATTTATTTTAATAAAAATGCGATATAACTAGGCCCTTTGCCAAAGTGCAACATCTTCAAGAAGAGGCCTACTGCTGGAGGAATTTTCTTTAGTATGAAGGTAAGGATTTTTTTTCTTTATGATAACTTAGCATATTTATTTAGTTGTAGCTTTAAAGAAAGTTCCATATTAATGAAACAAAAAGTTTAAAATAACTAACTGAAAAAGCAAATATAATGGCACTGTGCTCACGCCAGGGGCGAGCCCCTCACCGCCTTATACGTGGTTCCCATGAGGCATTACTTGTAGCGTCACGTATCTCCCACCCCTGTAGTTAAATGCTGGGCTAGGAAGGAACCAGAGTGGCCCCCACTCATCCTAATCATGTCCTTCCCATTTGAAACATGACTAAAAGAGGGTAAAGAGAGAAACTGGGGAAGCACGGCAGGAGGTGGGACAGGCCACCCCCCAGGAAAGGTGGGCCTTCAAAGTTCCCACCGATGAGAGCGCAAAGCCTCCCCCTCCAACCATCCGCCGTTTCAGTCCCCTTGGTGGTCCTCTGCCTCCCCAGCTGCGCCTCGAGATTCACCAGGAAATAGCATCAAAGTGTATTTGACCATAAGTTCTACAAACCATTTCCTAACAAATCTGTGGTATCATACACATGTACAATAAAATCACAACCATGGAAACTGTTACTTTGGAAAAATAAGCCATAAATCTAAGTATGATTGGCTGTTTAAAACTCTTCCCAGTAATAATACTGGTCATTTGTTTAATTTGTTAAGTGGATGATCAATGATTGACACCGAGGATGTGAACAAACTTTATGAGAGGGTAATTTTATACTGAGGTGATCCTCTCCACCAGCCTTTTGTCTGTCCACTAGGCTGATCGGGAAAACGTGCTCGCCGTCCCGCCAGCGACGGAGCCCGGGACCGTCCGCAGCAAACACGAGGACCTCCGGTGGCTGTGGCCCCAGGGTCGGGGTGGGTCTTATACTCGGTGTTACTCGCCCTTTTAATGTGACTAATATGCAATATGAATTTGCAAAACAAGGCCTTCACTAGAGAATCCTTGCTCACGGAGTATGTCCCTGAACTGGAAGTCACATAGCAACATGTTCTTTAATCACCACAGACTCTAAGAGGGAACTGACCATTCTAAGGGAAAAAAACTAATTTCCTATAATGACTTTTTTGTAGCATGTTACAATAAACAATTTATCTAAGAATAATAGGGGGTTAAGCATGAAGGAACTATGGTGATTATTTATGTGTTTATTTACTCATTGTCCCATATGTCAGTAGATATTCTTGGAATTTGCAGGAATAGCGTAAGGTTTGCTACCTCGGAGAACAGAGGAGAAGGAAGTGGCTCTGGGGCAAAGACCCAGCGTGCTGCACAAGCAGCGGGGGGACGGTGACCCCACCTTGTGGGCAGAACTCTCCTATTTCACCTGTGTGCACACCTCTTCTCCCAGAACCGCAGAAAATGTCAGGTATGTGAGGTGGCAGAAGTCAGAATGCAAGAGGAAAGGCTATTTTTCTAATCTTGACTTTCGTATTAGCAATGTTTTCCTAAAATTAAATATCATTTAGCTATATATTTCCATCAGTTAGGATTTTATCTGCAAGTGATAAAATCTGGAAACAGTGGACTTGAAGCTATTCACCATTGATGAATGAAGTCCAGAGGTGGACCGTGCCAGGCCCCCAAGTCAGTTCCATCATCCAAGCCACCGTCTCACGTCCCCGCTGTGGGCGGCCACAAAGAGGAAAGGGGGACAAAGCCAGCCCGTCCACGGGAGGCTGCTTCCAAGGATCTGCACGGGGGACATGGGGAGGGAGGCTGGGGAGCACACAGTCCCTAACAACTGGGACTTCTGTCATCAGGGAAGGAGAGAGTGCCACAGAACTCCTTCATGAAGGAAAAGTATATGGAAGAAAAATTTTGAAGTATATTAAAGAAAATTAAAGTGTATGGGAGCCAAGGAAGCATGAATGGCCAGGAGAAGATGGTCGGCTTGCACCTTGGAAGCGCCATCAAATGTTTCTTGCAGGCACATCTGAATACCTCAAAAGCAGCATTCAAATAAAGAAATGTCACGACCCTCCTCATCTCCTCTCCCACCCTCTCCAACCCACGTTAGGGCGTCAGGAGGGGCTGAGTAAGACAAAGAAAGAACCACACCCACCCCCCTTCCTGAGGTGGCCAGACAGCCACCAGGCCCAGCTTGGGCGAGGCGAGGAGAGGTTGTGATTCTCAGTGAAACTGGTTGAGTCATTAAATGAAATGGGACGGTTTTAATTGCTAAATTGCGATTTTCGCAGCACCAAGGGATTGGAAAGGTCATGGGTGTGCCTGAGGGCGTTGCAGGGAAAGGGCTCTCCTACCGAATGCAGTGCAGAGGGCCCGTGGGAAAGAAAGGCCCCTGTGACTGTATCCCATAGGCGCTGCTTGCTCAAAGCAATGTTTACAGTAACCCCCTTTTCAGGTTTCTTTGGTGAAGATTATGTATGAAAAAAAAAAGAATGTAAGAAAGTTAGAGAGCAAAATAAATAAAGAAATGAATAAAATAAAATAAAGAAAGTTAGAGAGCAAGGCGCAGAGAGGCACTAAATAAATACTGGCTTCCATCTGTTGATCCACACTATTCATTCAACAAATGCGTATTGAATTCATACTGTTCGCCAGTTATCGTTTTCAGAATGAAGACATAGAAGTGAAAAAAAAAATCATAGCATAGTAAAAATGAATTTGAAAAAAACCTTACCTCGATTCTCCACTTCTATAGAGAATTCGATTTATCTGATTCAGGCCACCTGGGAGCAGCTGTTGAAATTTCAGCACAATTCCCAGGAGGGACTCTGTACTTGAGGCTTGGAATTTTATGCCTTTTCATTAACAGAGTCATCCTGTACCATCCTGGAGTTCTGCAAGCTCATTCAGTTCTTTTTCTGTGAAAAGCTGATGCCAACCCACATGGGGACACACACAGGACAAATGGGGTCTAGGATCATTTCCTGGTGTGTTGGGCTGGAGAGAAGCCACTTTCTCTGCATCGCCTCAAGGCAGGCGTTTCTGTTTCCCTGGTAACGGGGTGGATTTCACTCACCTTGCTTTCTGAGGGGCTGCGTCTGATTCCCACGACGTTCGCCTCACTGACACCTGGTGGCCGTGTAGTGATGAGAACGCTGTGGGGAAAAGGAGAGAAACAATGTCAAAAGTTTCCTATCTGGAGCAGAGACATGCAACGGGGATTTTTAGGGAGGAGGAAGCCAATGGT